AGAGATAAATATTTCTGCTTCTCAGCTCCTGGCATGGTAGGTGTGTGCCGTCATGCCCACCTTCTGCTTTTTAAAAATCTGACTTTCCCTAGAATATTCTATGCAGTATGGAAAACCTCTGAGCTACTTAGAAGCATTTTTCAGCTCCCTTACTAACAGATGCTTCTTCTAAGAGTTACTTACTTGTGATACAGGAACCTTCCCTTGTGTTTTTAAATTTTTTACTGTTTTTTTTTTAAATATTCTGAACAAACTTTCCTGGTGCTGATATACCTATGCTTAGAAGACATATTATAGATGAAAGAACATTGTGACTTGGTGGGAAAATATTTTACCAAAGTGAGTAAAATATGAGATGCTAGTGGGCGTGTTCAGTGGCCTCCTACTTGCCAGGCCCATTACGCTTTATATCTTAGAAATCAATTCAGAGTATCTGAGCCTTTTCCTGACCACCAAGAATAAAAGTCTTCACACACTGTGTATTGGTGTAAGACTGAAACTCCAGTTGATAGATGTTTTACCCATGAAGTTCTCGCACACCTGTATAGAGCAAGTGGTTGTACATCTGAGTCTGACCTTCCTTATTATATGTTCAGAAGAAAATGTTTCCTTAGAAAACCCAATAAATGTTGCACTAAGTAGCCAGTTACAATTTCAGAAACAGTTTGCTTTTTCTGTAGCAAATCTCTGCCATCAATTCTTTACAATAATAACTGCAAAATATTGTTTTATAAAAATAAATGCATTATAATTACAAAGGTGTCTGGAAATACAACATCCCTGCTGATGGTAAATATTTGACCTAATTACGAGTTGCTGGAGAGAACTCCACCTGCCGACACCTCACATGTGATCATGTATATATTAAGTGACCCTGTAAGAATCTACCAGCCTGTTTTTTTTTCGTTCTTCCTAACTGAAGATTCGAAGGATATGACAGACTGTAAACTTACCTGTTTTTAAGTGTGAAAATGTGCCTAACAGACATTTATGTGTTATTTGCTGCTGAAATTGTTGAGGCACAAAGAGTATTTAGAGGTGGAGGGAACTGTGTTAAATCACACCCAAATTCTGTCTAATGTAGAAGGGAAATTGACCATCGTTGTTGAGTGACTGGCTTAAGGTCAAACCTCATATGATTATGAGATTCTGTTCTTGAGACAGGTAAGCATTGTTAGAGGCACATGTAAACATTCCAAGTAGGATTCATTATATTTAACATAGGTCACTTCTTGATGTTGTTTATACTATTTAACCACCTTAGTATATTTCTAAAAGTTGTGTTATGTAAGTTTCAGTAAGAAGCCATATAATTTTGGGGCCCCTTGACCCCCCCAAAAAAAGACACTTTGAGGTAACAGTTAAAGGGTCCTTAAATCAAGTAGCTGATACAGAACCAGCATGGGTACCTGTGTCCATGACACTGCCTCTGAGAATACCAGATGTTTGTTTCCTTGCAAAGTTTTTTTTTCTTTATAAAGATTAGCATGTATAGCGACAGACATATGTTTGTATGCCATGGATATTCATACCTGTCTCAAGTTAGGATCATATTTTCCTTCTCTGTTAGGAATGTATGCTGGGTAGTTTCACTGAGGCTTTTTCAGAAATTTCTTGAGGATGCTAGAGCTACACACTGAGGCATGAGCAGTATACCCGGGCCTCCAGGGTCTGGAATGCAGGAGCCAAGCTTCCTCCACGTTCAAAGAAGAGTACTGAGCTAGCCAGGGCTCATGTATGCATGAGTTTAGTGTTAAGCATTCAATCTGCGGGATACTTTACAGTTAAAACCAAAGGTGTCTATTAAGATATATTTTCTTAAAATCAGAATGGGGGCTGCTTGTATAAGCCTGTCTTTCAAAGCAATAAGTCACTTCAGCAATAATGTAATCTCGTGTTTGTGCTTAAGTTTATAACAATTAGCTTTGCATTACATTTAGTTTTTCTATTGAATTAAAATGAATATTGTTAATGGTGGTAGAATGTACATACAATATCTCAAGGTGAGCATGCTTTATAAAAACGTTAAACCCATGCAAGAATTATATCCAATTGAGCCATTAAACCTGAGTGGCAGTTTTTGTCCTCAGGATTTACATATTTTATTTGGAGTTTAAAGACATTGTGTTTCATAGCATGAACATGGTAAATGTGCCACAACACATAATCTTTCATGTAAATACTTTGATATTCATTTCTAGAAACTTTCCTTATGTCAGTTGTTATTTATGCACTTTTTTTAAAGTCTTACATGGTTGCATTAGATGTTTTATAATACAGAATTAAGTATTATTACAGAGGATATCTAGCGTTCAGAAAGTAGGAGTTTTGAAAAGCAATGCTATCCTGCTAGAGGATAAAAATTACTGTTTTAGAGGCAGGTAAATCAGTATGTTGAGCATTGCTGATGTCAACCTTACAGTATTAAAAATGAGTCAGGTTTTTGTAGCTTTGCTCTTCACCTTCTTTTAGGAGGAAGGCAACAGTGCCACCATGAGAACTGACAGGTTTGCAACATTGTAGCTGTTAGTTCCTCAAATAGCAGAAGCCCTCCATTAAGACTATATGACAAGCCCAAGCATTTAAGGAGACAGTTTAGAAACTGAGAAAGACCAGTCGTGTAATCAGACTTTATTGCTTGATAGTCAATTTCATGTTCTTCTTCAGTGAGATTCCTAAGGTTTGCCAGGTCAGCATGAAACTGATGTCAGGTTGTTTTCGTCATTTTTTTTTTTTTTTATGTAAGAAACAGTATCTGAGAAGAATATATGCAAACAATTATCTTCTCCACCCTAATGTTCATTTTGTGGCCAGTGTTTTTCAGTGTCCCTTTTATATTTTGTCTTTTAATAATGATATTTAAAAATAAACACACACATGCACACACGTACCAACAATAATTAAGGAAGAAGAGGCCATGAATTTGAAAGAATTCAAGGGGTGGGGGTGGGGTAGGGTACATGGGAAGGTTTGGAGGGAGGAAAGGGAACAGGGAAATGAGGTAATTATGTTACAGTCTTAGGTTTTTTAAAATTATTTAAAATAATAAGCTGCTAAGTTGATTATGGTTATGATGAGCTTAGACTCTGTGTTAAAGCATTACATTTTTCTTCTGTGTTCTAATGTCTGCATGATGCAGTGTATCTTTGAATGAAGAGACCTGGTGCCCATCTTTCTGTTGGCATCAGTCAGCCCTCTGATGTGTTAATGTGGCATAGGGGGAGTGCATGCACAGGCTTTATTGGATGCATTCCAAGTCTCAAGGAAAATTACCTGTAAAGAACTGAATTTTCAGTAGTGTTCCCTTCCAGTGAAAACTGATGTTGACACAGTCTGCATAAAAGAAAATCTTCCTATTGAAACCCAAGATGGACATTTTTCCATAGTTAGAAAGATGGTGGTATACTTTTATTATTACCTCATCATTTAGAATAGGTTACTGATTTATTTCATTGCTAATGAAATTGCAAAAAGTAACTGATTTTCAACCATGTGCTATGTAGGGAAAATTAGCCTAGTATTCTTACTTCTTTAAAACAGATTTTTTTTTCTTCCTAAAGCAAGTGGGCACAGTGGAAGTGGGGCATTGTTTGTTGCTGATGGGAAAGGCTCCAGTAGTTTCTGTGTAGCTTTGCCTTTTTTAGCCCGCCCTCAGCTGGCCACAGGTGCGACTCATAAGGGCTGGCTTTTCACTTTCTCAAATGTAGTTTCTTTGCGTTCAATACCAAAAAATTAATTGGTTGAACTTTTCCAAATGTGGTTTTCAAATACAGTAAAAAAACAGGCTTGAAATTTGACATGTTAGTACATATGCTTCACAGAGTTAAGATTTTTTGAAAGCTTTGTAGAAAAAGCTACTTAAAGGCACTGTTTCTTCATGTTGATAATTTATAAGTTCTATTCAGTAAGAAACCCACTGCATTTTTGTTTTTAAAAATGATTTTTATATACAGAATATCCAGTGGGGCTGAGAGCTTGGTTCTTGGTATGCTGCTTTTGCAGTCTGCTAACAGGCTTAAGAGAGGAAAATGGACGACACTCTATAGTCGTGGGCTTTCAGCTGTTTTTAGCAATTTCCCTATCAGTCTCTTGACCACTTCCTCCTACAGCCTGTTGATACTCTCAGCCCTTTGCTTCAGCTTTTCTGTGATAATCTGACTCTAGAATGTAGCTTCATTCATTCATAGGACAGGTTTGTTGTGTAATGTTCAGCGAGTACACTCATGAAAACTTTCATACCATCACTTAATTTTTAGCAAATTATGGTATTTCAGGTCACCAATGTAGCTCAACATTTAAATGGAATTCTACAGTGAAGACATTTGCCTGAAGCAGAACTGTTGCTTGTTTGTTTGTTTGTTTGTTTGTTTGTTATTTCAATTTTTTGTTGTTGGTTTTTAAGACAAAGTCTTATGTACCAGGCTAGCTACAAACTCCTTATCTAGCTGAGAATGAGCTTGCCCTTCTGGTCTCTGGCACCTACCTCCCAAGTGCTGGGTTTGCACTTCTGACTCACCTGCTTCTGTCTCACAAGTGCTAAGATTACAGGCGTGTAACACTATGCTTGTTTTTTGTGATGCTACAGATGGAGCCGAGAGCCTCATGTGAGCTAGACACACACTATCAGCTGAGCCCTATGCTCAGTAAGAACGGTCTTTTAGCAAGTCTACTTTAATATTTCTTTATTTTTTAAAACCATAATCTTTCTTGAAATGAAATGTGAGATAAATCATTTTAGAAAGATGTATTTTTTTAAGTAGTTGGACATTACAGAGTAGCAGTGTTCTATAGCTTAAGAATAAATAGGAAGAAATGTAAGCTATTATGTCAAGTGAAATTTCTGGAGTCATCTTAGTATAGAAAATTATACTTTAAAAAATAATAATGGGGAGATAAACGTTGATATTTTTCTGACTTACTGATTCTCAATGCTGGAATTCAACTTTAAGAAATCTGAATTCTCAGAATCGCTAATTTTTTTAAAAAAATATTTTAAACAGCACTTTAAGAAACAAAAGAGACTAATTCCTGAGAGAACCGTTTGGAAATACTTTGTTCAACTCTGCAGTGCACTGGACCACATGCATTCTCGAAGAGTCATGCATAGAGGTAAGAAAAGCATGGGAAATCTGCAGCATTATCTTAAAGAAGTTTAAAATAGCTTCCATTCAGTCCACGGCGTTACCTGTTTTTGATAATTTATGTCTAAATTATAATTTAGTGGGACTATAAGCGTTAAAGTAAAGCCCTGCTTGATTATAAATAATGGAAAGTATGCTTTGCCCGACTTCTCTAAATACCTTGCTGGTTCTATGGGTAAAGAAAGTGAAGCTACCGGAAAGCAGGGCATGTGCATACGGAAGAGGGTTTGTTGTGTCTCCTTCAGACGAGTACACCGTGGCATCCCAGACTGTTTCTGTGTCCAGCCTCAGTCCTTAATGGAGTCTTCATGAGCAGTCCAGTTGCTGGGCAGAGATAATGCAGTCAGTCACTAAGGGGCTGATCTACTCATTTGGGGGTGTCAGAAATTCTGAAGCAATTTATTTAAGGAGCCATGATTTCTGAAGCCATCCAGTAAATACAATGTGATTAATATTAAGCTATGATTTTATAACTTGTGTAAATATACCAATTCCTTTTCAGTAGCATGTTATTTAAAATTGTTACAAAGAGGGTACAAGTTTATTCTGTGTCTAAAATTTTCATTCATATTCTTTGGAATATTAATTAGACTGGGAAGTTCAAAATATATGAAAATGATTCAAAATACAATGAGTGGTTCACAGTTCAGACTTTCAGATTTAATAGACATTTTGAACCCTTCCACAGAAGGAAATTTCGTATTCCTTTCGGATTCCCCAACTTACAGTATCTCTCACCTGATCTCTTCATTTATCCACAGATATAAAACCAGCTAATGTGTTCATTACAGCCACTGGGGTAGTCAAACTTGGAGATCTTGGACTTGGTCGGTTTTTCAGCTCCAAAACCACAGCTGCACATTCTTTAGGTAAGAGACACAATTTCACTATTTCAGTCAGTTACGTGTGTGATTGTGTTGGTCATGCTTTAAAACAGGCATGGCAGCTTCATGGCGCTGATTGCCGTCTTTGTAAAACTCTTCTAGGAATCAGCTGCTCCTGACAGGTGCTCACAGTTCCCTGTTACCTTTTACATGATGCTTGGAACTTCTGCCTATTTGAATTCAAGCAGGCCCTGAGGTTTTGTTGTTTGTGCTGTGTTTTTTTTTTTTTTTCTTAAATAATGCTGATAAGCCTGGTGTTTACTGTTGCCACGGAGAGTTCCTTTTATCTTATTTGTAATGGCTGTAAGATAACTTAACAAAAAACTGTATTTTGGAAGAAGTCTTCACTGAATTTCTTTTAAATGCCAGAGGTAATAATTCATACATGTTTATTTATTCACTGGGCATGTAACTGTGATAAGAAAGAAAACCTAAAGATCATCATAGTGAATGAGGAGGAACAAAACTATCTCTTTTTATAGAATGGAAGAAATACCCACAGTTGATTCATTTTAGAGTTAACATTATTTTGATGTCCTTTTGTACCCTAAATAGAATTAGTATAACTACCAACATTGTATTAGCAATGGGAAGAAAATTGTTTTGGGTCAGAAACGATAACAATTCCTAGAAGAAATGTTTTTTTAAATTATGTTAAAAGTGGAGTACCTCGAGACTCTCCAAGTCACCTTTTCCTTCTAGTGCATATAAGACACAGGAAATGATTTTTAAAATAAGAATTAAAGCAAAATTAAGTTGGCCTTAATTTAGTTGTGTCTATTTTTGGCCACCGTAATTTCCTTGAGAGTCATTAATTCTTTGGAAGCAGTCTCTAGATGTGAAATGAGGGGCTTTTAAATGGACGATTGAAGACCAGTGATTTAAACTAAATAACCAAACAGTTAAGCATCTGGAGAGCAGCGGGTTGGCGACTTTTGTTTCTGGCATTGTCCCTGAGATTCCATGTGCCTCTGAATCTATCATTTATTAATATTTTTGTTTCTAGAATAGACTTTGGCTTTACGTACAGTGTGGTGGAAATGCTGACGCTTCCTTGAATTTCGTTGTTAGTTATGGAGAACATACAATCCCACAGTGACGTCCTAGAATAGTTAGTTTCCTTCACACTTCATACTTACAGTCACATAACTGCACTGCCTTTTCCAAGTATAAGATTTTGATCTGAAACTTCATAAGGAATCAGTAAATTTGCATAACACTTTGATAAAGTTTTATTTGGGAAGTTACAATTTTTACAGTAGGTGTGGTAGACAGTTTCTAGGAAGAAGCCATGGCCCTTCACACTAAAGACACCACCACTCTGTGCTGCTCATCTGATTGCTGTGTCCTAACAACACCCTGTTGTTAACTCACTTGAAACACTAGCTTATAATTACATGTACACTAATCGCATGTGCCTGTGCACACATGTGTCTTGTTTAAATGCTGTTTGGCAGTCACTCTTGAGCAGGCTGTAGTGGTCAAGCTTTACCGAACTAATTATAAATTTGAAATCCAGATCTGAGCAATTCAAAGTGGATTCAGTCTGAGGCTTACTACTTTTTGCAAAAGTTCTATTTAGGGATTAAAAGCATATATACCTCTCCTGACTTGGGTAATGTGTCAGTCTAAATCATTTGATATGGAGAATAAAGTGAATTTTAATAGATTTAAGAATTCAGTAAGGATTTAGCAAATCAACTCCATTAGGGTCGTGTTATATATGCACATACTGATGCTATGATTCTAATGAATCCTGGGCACTTCTAAACTCCAGCCAGGGAGGGAGAAAAGCAAGGCTCTTTGATGATGAATCCATAATGAACTAATTTCTTCGGTAATTTTGTTTTTCATCCTGGGAAGGGGGATTCTAATTTTTAAAAATTCTTTTATTCTTGCTGATCTCTTGTGCATAGTGAAGATTCTGATGGCGTGCAATTCATGTTTCCATGACAAAGTGCACTGAGTAACTTGGTGAAGTTTGAACGTCAGCTTGTGTCAATGATCATTGGACCAGCAGACTCCAGGATAGTCTCTGATTTTATACATACATACATACATATACATATACATATACATATACATATACATATACATATACATATATATATACATATATATATATATATATATATATGACATTATAGAGCAAGAATAGATGTGCTGACACACCTTTAGCTGTTTATCGCAGGTTGGCCCTATTTTTTACTTCTAGAGAACTATTACTCTTCTGCTATATACATTTATTATTATAAGCAGATTTGTTGGCTTTTAATAGTTGAGCATGAGAAGTAATTAAGTGTATGGCTACCTATACGAATTTATTTTGCTCATAAAAATATGGTAGAGCAACTTTTTTATTGTATAGTGATGCATTTTTCTGTTTTCCTGATAAGTAAAGTCTGTGGCGTGCTTAAAATAGGCCTGTTAGTGAAACTGTGAATAAGATGCTAATGCAATTCATAGGGAAAAATATTTTTAAAAAATGGAAACCTAGGATCTAGCTTGTTGGCAGAGTGCTTGTCCAACATGCACTCTGACCTGGATTCTATTCTCAACAACTCATAATACAGGAGGCACTGTGCATGCCTGTGTTCCCAGGATGTGTGGGGAAGGCAGGCAGAGCAGAGGTTCAAGTTCATTCTCTGCTACCTAGGGATGTCTAGGCCATTCTGTTTTACATGAGACTCCATAACAATAATAAATGAATTAATAGAAAGGAAAAAGAAAAATGAAAATTACCTGAGTATTACAGTAAAGTCTGTGGTGGAGCCAAATTTAATTTTACTTTTTCAAGGAACTTATTTTTGTTTTGTTTCTAGAAATTTAGTTTATAAATGCAAAGCTCTCAGATTTTGGAAGAATAGCTATGCATGTAGCATTTCTACGTCCTCAAAATGTACACATTTGTTGAGAAATCAGAACATCCTCCTGGAATCTTTTATTTTTTAATGTCTAGAGGAGATGGGCTAGCCTATGGCTGTTTCATTTACCTTTGTTTCGCAGCTTTTGTGTAAACTTCATCTTTGTAACTACTCAGCATGCCGTGAGCTCTGGGCTTCCCTTATACCTTCTGGAGCAGACACTCATAGAGAAGACCATGTTTCTAATCAGCCTCACAACCTATTCTGAAAAATATGACAACATAATAGAGATATTAATAATTCCTGAATACAGAGGTTAGCAATTACAAATACAGAATCTGATGTGGGGGTCCCAACCCTTGTCCAGCCCTTCATTCAACAGCCAAACCCTGGGGCCTCAGTCTTGATTGCCTTGTCTGGCCCAACCACAGCATCCGCCTTCTCTACTCCCCATCCCACGCTCGCATGGACTCTAACCCCTTTGTAATGATGGGCTGGGGAAATGACCCCTGTTTGCTTCTTGTCCTCTTCTAAATCGTGTCAGCCACTCCCACTGGAGTGATTATCCTTTCAGTTCCTTTCCTTGTTACTTCCATCCAGGTTTGATCTTTCTTTGCTGCTCGAGGAATGTCCTCCCAGCCCTTCAGGGTCTTTTAGAGTTCACTGGTCTCTAATGCCCTATTCTTATGATTGACTCCATTTTCCCTCCTTAACTGTGCCTCCTCTACCTCTGCTTTGTTCTGAGCATGGGAAACACCACAGTATCCTAGACACTACTGGGTTTATGTGCTCACAGCTCTGGAGCTCTTTCAACCATGAGGCTCGTTAATGCTTCTGGAACTCACGTTCTAGATTTACAACTTAAGGGTCCAGAACCAAGGCTACAGCAACACTCGGGTTGCCAGGGGTGAGCACAGGGATGTTATTGGCTTGAATATTCAGAACAAAGGCTGCAGGGGATGTCTTGTGCTTCCACATGGAGGGGGGCAAGGGTTGCTAGAAACTCCTCAGTTTCATTTCCGGTCTGAATTTGAATTGACTTTTGGTTGTGCTTTCAGAAACTTTTTACTGTTGCCCTGGTTTCCTTGGCCTCAGCTTTTAGCTGTGTGATTCCATAAACTATAGGTTGCACTCCATAGTTGAGAGATTTAGACAAATCTTTGTCTTTGTGACACATATCCAAAGCTGAGGAAGTAGTAAGATGATTTGATGTGCCAAGAAGGAAGAGGGGAGCATAGTTAGCAAGTGTGAAGTGGGGCAGGCCAGTCAGTCAAAGGATCAGAAAAAGAGGCTACTGTCACATAACCTCAACAGTGACTGCTCAGCCTCACAAGGAGGTCAAGATGAGCTCCAGTTTGCTGGAGCAGGGGAAAGGAGGAGTGGAGCCAGATTTAGGAGACATTTGCATTGTTGTGAATCCTACCATACTGCACAGGCAAGTTTTTACAAGATTTTAATGAACAGAACAGCATGCTCTGGGTTGAAGATAGCACCCATGAGTGTCTGTCCTCGGCTTCATTCAGGACAAGCATGTCTAGAGTTGTCTACGCAGCTGATTTCAGTTTTGCCGTGTGCCAGGAGCTTTCCTTTTTCCCTTTCTGAGTATTTATGGACCAGGAAGATGGTTGATTTCTACTGTGATCTGCAATGTGGACTGTTCTCTAGGTTCAGTCTTCTTTTAAAGCCCCTCTATTTCATAGGTGAATTTAGGACTTTGATTTTTGCTTTGCCATTGATATGGCTAGGGCTCTGTGTCTTGGGAGTCTGGTTGTAGAATAGTCTTCTTATCCCTGTGAAGTTTGCCTTCTTTTCTTTCATATTGTTTGTCAATGTCACAGATGTAACAGATGTTGGGAAACCTGGTATCTATTCACATCCTTAAAAATTTATGGTGAAGACACAGCTCTCTCTTGATCCAGCTTTCTGATTGACTAGGTCAGTGGCTTTCAGATTTCTTAAGGGTAACCCCCAACCAAATCATGATCCCGTGGGACTGGAATTGAGTATGCTGAAGCACAAGTTGCATGTAGCCAGGTTTTGTACTGCAAACGGCTGGAGTGTTCTGACCTCGTTTTGTTTTATTTCAATTGAAACAATGCCAATTGCAAGCTGGTGTATTGG